TGCCCTAACAGTGAGTGTCTGTTGTAGTAGTCACTTTGCATCCCAATGGGAAGGTCTCACTGTGTGTCCAAATGTCTTCAACCAAAAGGAACATTCAAACCATGTGGGTATGCAAGCCGAATTTCCTACTTTCTGCACAATAGCATGACTGGTCTGGGTCTCAGTGCCTAAGTGGGTGGAGTGTGGCCAATGCGACTTAAAGTATAGCAGCATCTGCCACAGAGGCATAAAGTCACACTAGCCACAGGCACGTTAACTGCAGTTTATGACCCATAAATGTAAGGCCATTGTCCACTGCCACAGTACTTACTGAAATGTTTACTGTCTCTGCTTCTGTGTGTCTCTTTCGGTCCGTGTGATTACAGCTTCACCCTCGACAGTAATTAGGGACCATTTCAACAAGGATGTGGAATGTCTCCATCCATGTTTCCTTCTCTTCATCTCCTTCTCTCTTCTACCCCCACAATAAGCATTCTAATGCACGCTATAAAGCGAAGTCAAGTCTCATGCACGCCGTTTTTTTGTGACAGATAAGTAACATTTTGGGACGATGGCCACATTAACGGCAACACAGTTTTATCTTATCTTTACGAGATGACTTTGAAGGAACCTGTTCTGTCAGCTATGAAGCCCCCTTTTGCAGTCAATGCAGTGTAGCCTTGGATTTAGCACCGAGCATCTCCAGTCTCAGTCCTTGAAAAAAGCAGTGATGAGCAAAAGGAAAGAGAGAATGTCTCTAAACCATCCACCCCCAGACGTGCAGAGAAGGTGGGTGTGTGGAGCAATAGTCCTCTCTCTCTGCATCGCAGTCTAAAAGGCACAGGGAACAAATCTGCTGTTCCACAGGCAATGAATGTTATGATATCTCCTGCAGTGCATAATGCAATCTTTTCAAGGCCCATGGCACCGGCAGGCACAAACTTGTTGAAACACTATATTCTGGAGGCAGATGTTCAGGAGCTGAAGTCATTTGAAAACTCCATTAAATTGCATATTATAGGGGGAAGTGGTGCCTGATGTGATATACTGCAAGAAGAAGAAAAAAAAAAAAAAAAAAAAAAAAAAAAAAAGGTAAATAACATGATGGATGGTGTCATCATTCGGGTGACTCTAGACAGCTTCCTAATGCAGGACCACACAGCACCGTGTACACATCAGACAGGGCTGGTTTACACTGAAGCCCTTGTGGGCCTTTCATGAAGCATTTCCCATCTATTACAACAGGTTCAACATCTCTCTTTTAACTCTGAAACAAAAAATCCTTTGCTCTTCCTCCCTCTCACTCGCCTTCTCCAGCCCTTCACTTACTGCAAGTCTTTCAGCACAATGATACGACAGAGACGCATAAGAATAATGGCAAGTTGTTGCTAAGAGACCACCTGTTCAGATCTCCCACATGAGATTGCGGTGGAACCGTTCGTCCTCTTCCCATCATCAGAATATGATTCAATCGAGTGTAGCGAATGTCACCACAATATTTTAACTGAGAGAGGAACCTCTTATATAACAGCGTGTCTTTTAGGCAGGAAAAACTGCGGTTCCAATCCGGATCAAGCAGCCTACTGCAGCAGTATCATACTCGTCACACAATGAAGATCCTATAACCGGAGAGCATAGAGTATCACGCTTGACGTCAAACCACGATTTTGCCTTTCCTCATAACAGCCATTTGAGAAAATGGCGTCCACTGTTCTGCAGGCTGTGTTGACAATTAGGGAGTGGTTGCTGAATGGGGAAAATGAGTGTTGTCCCGAGGGCTGCAGGAGACGAGACACACCCTTGTACTCCCTTACCTGCCAGGGTGTGTTCAAAACCTGCAACACACACAAAACTTGCATGACAAAGACTCTGATTAAACACAAGTAAAAGTTATCTTGTGTTAAAAGGGTGCGTTCAACCGGCTCGCTTCCATGCTACCTTGAGTTAAACGTTATAAGTAGCGATTAAAAAGCTTCATTATAAACTGATTTAATACACAGTCCCATTCTTCTTCGGCCTCTAGTCTGATTAATCTGTTTGTTCACTTCAGTGTGTGCCTCCGCCTCCCCCTCCCCCCCGGTGCTCAGACTTCATCCATCGGCATGTTAAGGGTATTGACCCGGACACCGTCTCCCCAAGACACCCAGCGACAAGGCCAGCTGGTGGAGATGACTGTGGTGCACACACACACACACACACACACACACACACACACACACACACACCCCGAGTGTCAGTCTTAAGTATCCGTCTCCCCCCGTCAGCGCGGGAATGACTAGATGCCATTCGCCATGTCTGGAACTGTCTATGTGAGGGAGGAGAATTGAAGTGAGTCACAGAGGATCATTTTCGGATTGCTGGGTTTCACAGGGTTGACTCCCCGGTTGATTACCATAAAGTAAAGAAAACTAAGGAGTGCCTTTGGCCTTTGAGGAACAACACTCAGGGAGATGCCGAATCTCCAGTCTCACCCTCGCCATGCTTACAGTCCCAGCCCTGTTAAACACACACTCTCAACTCACTGGGCTAACATGAGTCACAGCGGTGCAGTTACCCCCCTCTCCTCCTCTGCGATTACTCAGTATCTGCCCAGCTGCTGGCTGCAGTGACTTTGCAGCCAGCCGTACGTTTTTAGATCTCTCCTCTCTCACCCTCAGGAGAGGTCTGTTTGCATACGAAGCAGACGAAAACAATTACTGTCCACTGAAGCTTTCAAACTCGTAACGTGGAGAGAAATGGGCATAGTGGGCAGCCAGCGTTATGGAAGTCCCATTTGTCTGCCCCCCCCAAAGTTAGAGTTAAGTGACTGGCTGTTAAGAGTTTGTCCAACAGTTGGAGACTCATGACTCTCCATGTTTAATCATCATTGCAAACGATTAGCAACGGAATTATAAAACAGGACAAAGCCACAAAGAGTCAAAGGTACAACACTGTGAACATGACTTTAGGAGGGGGGCACCAATATTGAGTCTCACTCTGCACTTTGTTAAGAAATATCCAATCATTGTGCCCTGCTGTCTGTGCCACTAATGACAGGGTGAACTCGGGTAAACTTTCAGCATACTGTCAGATGGCAGAGGCCTTGCAGCTCTACCACTCCCTCAATGTGGCCGACAAGCCGATGAAACTAAAGTTGACAGTCTGCACTTCAATGGCTCCAAACTTCATTGACAAAACCAGCCGATTCCCACCTATATCTATAATAAAACAGCATCACTTTAAAATAAAACAAGTGGGGTTTTGAGGGTGTAAGCACCTAAAAACATGCAGTGAAACACTGAAAATTGAATCCATCTCTTTAAATATTACGGGACACTAAAGAAACTTGCTTTACGCTGCAACGTTGGTGAAGAAAGCACGAGGAACACCAAATAAGCAGCGACTATAGATGACACTCTTGTGAGCTCCTAGCTTTTGCCACAAGGTCAGATCCCCAGTGTGGAAGAAGGTCTGCGTCTCTCCACTCTGCCGCCAATCAGCGTTCTTGGCTGTCAGGACTCTGACAGGGTGCTTTCACCCCCAGAGAGAGAGCCCCACTGCTGGGCTTGTGCTTGAACGAGCAAGACCATCTACGAAGGGACTTGTCGTATATACTTGGACAAAACCCAACAGAGCATGGGCACACAATTCACAATGAAAAAGAAGGATACACTGTAGGTTGTGTGACCAATCCAGGACAGAAATAGCCACCTGAAACATTTGCTTCCCTTGTTGGCTCTAAAAGAAGCAGCAGTCGGTCACTCTTGGCTCACCCGACCTCCTTACTGATATAAGTCTAGTCCCTGCAGGAGAATAGAACAGCTACCCTCTACCCATCCTTGGCCTTCTGTTAGCTGAACTACAGCTGCATGGGGGCAGTTCAAATTAAAGTACCTTTTAAGTTTTGTTGTGCGAGTGAGAAAATATTGAAAGCGACTTCCTCCAGTATCAGTGAGCTCTCAAAACAGAAACCTGAGATTATCACAAGACACTGAGGAGTGGAGCCCTCATAACCTGGACTTTAGCTGACATTCCTTCAGTATAGGTGCCTGCCATGCTGAAACACGGCGTAATGAACCAAAGCCCGGACTTTTAAAGATTTACATGGCAACTATACTGCTGAAATGATTTGTCGATTAATTGATCAGACGTTCAGCGAACAGTTAAAACGGCAACAACTTCCATTGTCAATTTAATGTTTCAATCATGTATTCATACATGACCAATCCCTAGATTAGCTGGTTCTCTTCCTTTTACGTCATTGCGAATTGAAACATTTGGGGATCTGAAATAATTATTATTATTTTTTTTTTTTTTTACTGTTTTCTGCCATTTTATAGACAAAATGATCAAATAATGAAAAAAAGAATGCTTAAACACTGCCACTTGATACTATTGAATATTACTAGAATATGTTTTCCCAGTACTGAGGCTTACCACTCCATGCAGAGTTCACACGGGGTTTTTTAGGCAGAACAGGTTTGAATGTTGAAACTCCTTTGGGGCAAATGTTTACTTGTTGCAACAATTCAGCCCAACCTTTTCTTCTCCTTCAAAAAGTCACTTCTGGAATGCATTCCGTCCCCATTTTGGCCTGAAAGCTAAAGGCTACAGGAACCCACTGGTCTTTTATGAATAGCCTATTATCAGAGCAGTAACGTTAGGTGGATTATAGGAATACAACAGGCCAACATGTAGGAAAAGAATGAATGAAAAGACAGAGTTTGATTTAGGAAGCACGGGGCTTTTTTTAGCAGAGAGGTGTTGCCCTAATTAGCAAACCTGGTTTCGATGAGAAATGTGTGGAGGTGGAAGACTAATCCCCCCCAAAAAAAAAAAAAAAAAAAAAAAAAAAAAAATCAACCAAATGAGCTACGCGCCTCTCCCTAAATAGATTTAAAAAAAAATTAAAACGACAAGGCTCTGAATGCGTCTTGGCCAGTAAATGCATGTGTTATTCATGGTGGAAATACACGGTGTCTGACAGCTGGAATCTTATTGTCATACGGACCTCAAAACTTTACTCATTAGTTGAATCTTACCTTATAGACATTTTCCGTCATGCGGTGAACCTCGTCGGTGCGAGACATCGTGGAATCTTCAGCCAGGACCATAAACGGTTCTTTCCTTCAACCGTGTATCCGCGTAAAATTGGGGGGGGGGGGAGGGGGGAGGGGGGATGACTGGATAATACGCGAGTTTGATCAAATAGGCGAGGCGACGCGCTCCGTGAGAGGGAGATAACACTGCGCTCCCGAAACCCCACTCCAAACTAAAACACACCTTCCCTCTGCTCAGCTGACAGCCCGCTGCTGCCTTCACGGTCTGAGCGACAGTTTGGTTTTTTTCGCAGTTCAGACGCGCAGGTAAAAGCGTGCAGAAATAAAGTGCAAAACTACAGTGAAATAACAAAAAGCACAGAAAATAACATTTGACATAATGTCGTGTAAAATACAGCAATACTTACACGTTGCGCTAGTGAGTGATAGAGATATGCAGGAATGTAATCGAATCAAAAAACGAAATTAGGCTACTGTGATTTAGAAAAAAATGATTGCAAAGGCTTGCAATCATTACTAATTCAATAAGGAGAATGCTGGTATATTCCATGTTGATGTTGGATCCAGAGCATATGTACACTTCTTTCAAACCATAAGCCCAATATTTCCAACAGCATCAGAATGCAGCACCATGTTATCATAGTGCACATTTGGTGCACGCCCCCCATATTTCTGTACTATTTGAGCTCCATCATTGCTATAATATGCAAATTCACATTTGTTTCTCTGCAAAAAAAACATAATATTTAAATAAAGTTCTTGCCCAAGAAAAAAAAAGTATTTATTATGTAATTGCCTGTTGATTTTGTATTTTGTTATGAGCTTAAAAGACACAGTTCTCTAAAATTTGCATTCATCGAAAACAATTTGTATATAGCCAAACTCTGCACAAGGTGATTAAATACTGCAGGAGGGACCCTGTCATGTTGTCGTCAGAGCAAAGACGCAAATCAAACCCGTTTGCTTTCATTCTGGCAAAGATTGGCTGCTTTAAATGAAACCAATCCAGCAAATAAAAAGACATAATAGACACATTTAGAGTATGTATCGTGTCCCCAGTGTTCCATGTCCACAGCAGCATGGTGCATTTTGTTGTCTGCCTCTGCCCATTAAAGCCTTTGTGCACACTGTTGCCTTCATCTGAGCAACCTAAAAAAAATGACAGTTGTCCCCGTTAAGTTTATCTTCTCTGTGTTTACAAAGACAGCTTTATGTATGCAATTGCATAGCAGAAGTCTGTAAGTGAGTCAGTAACACCATAGGTGATGTTTTTCTCACAGCGGGTACTTTGTGTGTAGTTTCATTGTACATGCCAATTAGAGTCTAAGTGCCCACTTAGTGTAGGATTGTAAATACTATACTGGCTTTCTTGTCAAACATCTCCCACATATCAGCAACATGAGCTTTCTACTTTCTGCCAATAACCACACACTTTGCTAATTGGATGCGAATGAACACACCTGTTTTGTAAACTTGTTGAGTCAAAAGAAAACTAGCAAAGGGTGCCCCCTTCTGGAGAACGCATGATACACAAGATGAAAATGTGAACAACATATCAAGTCAAAAGAATTCATGTTGTGGCCACAGCTCAATTTAATATGGAAAACAACTGAAATGAATGTGTAAAACATCTAAAAATGTGTCCGTTCATTCTGTTACACCATAACCATAACAGTTACAATGTGACATTTCTTTGCTAATACAAATCCTTTATGTAGATACTTCAGGGGGGCACTGATGTGTGCAGGTCCCACCTTCATCTACTAACAATTAAGGATGAAAGAGTGAAATCAACAGAGTGTCCATCAGTAGAAGTTGACTCTGTTCTAGGCTGTTAACATCTCTCTGTCTGGCTTGTCCTTTGCTTCTCTCCTCTCTAGAAAAGAAAGTCAAAGTAAAGCAAATAAGATCAATCTGGCATCAATTGCTGTAGAAATATATCAAGAAGTGTGTGAGGAACGCTTCATGATGTGAAATAAGAAAAACAACCGTATACCTGTCTCACCTTTATGTGTCTCTGGGACCTCTGGTATCGGCTCAGTGGGGACTTCTGGAAGCGCTAAATCTTCTCCCTGTTACATGAGATGGGACAGAGTAACAGTAAACGTTGAAACAATAGAGGTTACACTGACCGACTAAGAAAGGCACAAAAGTATTTATTTGCCAAGCTGAAAGTGTTTTTTACTTCCAAAAAATGTGACATTTTAGCAATGCAAGCGTGAGGATTCTGAATCTTTTACTTCTTGACGCTCTCCTTTAATGTCCCTGATACAACTAAGCACTGTACTTTTTAATGTTCTATTTTAAGCCACATGTGTAAATAGAGGCAAGTTATTAAACCCAAACATCCAAAACATTTGTAGATAAACTGTTAAAATGAATATTACATTGCTTGCTGCCTTTTTATCAAATTGAGAAGACTCAGAATTGGAGTCTGCGTCTGTGTTCAAGTGTGAAACATAGTCATTTGTGTCGTTTGATAGGCTTGAGGGTGGGTGTCGTTTGGAAAGATAATTAGATCACAAAAGAGGAAACATCTGCTGAGGTTTTAATTATTAGCAATCAGCCAAATTCATATCCACAACTGTTTCTATTACACAGCCTGTTATTACACACAAATGATGATTTTGTGGCCTCTAACTTTGCTACACTTATTCTTATATCTGGTCAAAACACCAGCATGCCGTTTGGGTATGAAATCCGCACTTGACTTAACTCTGAATCACAGATTCACCACTGCTCCAGAGGAAGCGCTACAGTAAGTGGCAAACAGTTGAAGCCTGTAGTTACACCAGGTTGTAAATACCAAGGGGGGGGGGGGGTGTAAACACATTCTCTGTGTTTATAAAAGGTTAAAGATGTAGCGCAACGCCCACCTGAGTGATAGCTTCCAGCTCTGCTAACGCAGCCTCCTCGTCCTCCTGCGTCAGGGCTCCAGCCAGCATTTCATCTATTTGCTGAAGGAGCAAAAAAAAAGAAAATGTGTTAGCCGACAGCACAGTGACGGACAGCTCAGATTTTCTTCTGCTGACGTACTATAAACATGGACAGTTATCTATATACAATGTGTAGGAGAGTTCCAGATTACAGCAGTCTGCGTCCTCTAAACGTAGGGGATACTGTAACATGAAGATATTAAAGATACTACTCAAATACAGTTTGTGACATCAAGCAGACATTTACCTTTTGATAGTCAATTGATTCCTGCGTCTCATCCAGGATTCTCTCCACATCTTCAACCGACATGATCTGTCACAAACCAAGAAAAAAGGAAATCCAACATTACAGAAGAAAAGTGTTTTTTCGATGAAAAGTGTTTTCCTCGCATTCTGGCGGGCTTGTGAATTTTCCAGGGCAAATATCTGTACACTTGTATCCAAAGATGTGCTGCAGTCACAGCGCTGTAGTCAAGGCTTTGCTTTTTAATCCCTTAATCTTCAAACAATGTGCATCGGCCATGCTAACACAAACCACAAGCTTGCTCCGCTGCCCAATCCTCGCCTGAAGGATCACATCGAATAAAGTGTGTTTATCAGTTAAAACCTTTGACATTATTGACGTGTACTCTCGCATATCTAAAGCTTGGGGGGGGGGGGGTGAGAGGCATATTTTTAAACACAAAAGGCAGGAAAGAAACATGAAAGCATATCTACCTCGTGCATACTCTTCAGACAATCGTTGCCAACCTTAAGTCCCTCCATGACTTGCATCTCAATTTGCATGAACTCAATATCTTGAACCTGTTGACAAATATTAGCATGTAAAACATAAAAATGTCCAAACATACAGATTTTTCTAGCTCAGGTAAAGCTTGCATTTTTGCAGAACATGAATAAGCAGACCTTGGAAGATTTGACTTTTTATCTTAATATTTCACATCACGTTAAAAAAATGCGCCTTGCTCTTTAAAACAAAGTGCATGAACTTTACATCGGACACACCCATTGGCTGAGGCTTGGTGACTTAAAACACGATGACATCAAATCGCATAATCGCACAAAACTTACCATCCGCTCCAGGTTGGATATCTGGTTTTCAGTCTTGTCTAGTAGCTGATCCTGATATCGTTTTTTCTTAAGAAGCAGCAGTGCTTTTCTGCAATAACAAATACAAAGAAAAAAAAAATACATAATACAGCAAAGAGCATGTTTATTGTAAGGTAGCCATACAGAATGCATATACAGAATAACATAGATGATTTCATTGAGCCCATGGCGAGATCTGCACCTCAGGAGGTTTCAAATGTGTCTGTGTGAAGTTCTGCATGTCATGCGTGTACTGTTGTTATTTAATCTACCGACAGTACTCCTAATCACCGTCACACACTACTGACTACATGGGGACATGCTTACTCTTTCTTTCCATCTTTCAGCAACTGCTTTGCCAGAAGTCGCTCTTTCTCCAGCTGGAGGGTGATTCTCTTTTGGTACTGCTTCAGTTTATCTCTCTGCTGCTTCAATTGCTGGGGGGGGGACAACACAAAGTCAGATGTATTTTTAAGTAATGAAGTAACGAAATTGCTTATATTCTGAATTAGATTAGAAAGCTCCCCAGTGGGGGGACTCATTAATACAAAAACTGTAGGCATATATGTGCAATACGTTGGATTACCACATATCTGACAATGTGTCCAACAGTTAAAGTAATAAGAGTGTTTTGTACTACATTGTAATGTACAGTGGGTTATATTTTCCCTTCACAGATGACGGACAACACGTCTCTCTAGCTAACGTTAGTCCCAACAGAGGACTTCAGTCTCAATCTGAATGACAGACAAACAGACTAGCATTAGTCCATGTTGCCTAGCAGCCCGCAGCGCTGTGCAGCAAGCTAACAGTAGCCTTTGTGCTAATGTAACGGGACTAATCTGCTGCTACCACCGCTATCAGCTCACCAAAATGGCTTTGTCTTGTTCCGTTACACGCGTAGGTTGACTCTTTCTCCCAAAAACGGTACCCATTGTTCAGCCACATCCCCTCCACATCCTCCTTCATCAACAGACAGATCATTACATATTATCGAACATTTTACCATGATAATAAACAGCCAAAACAAATGGCTAGCAGGCTAACTGACTACCACCATGTCCACAGTCCGTGATTCCTACGGCAAGCGAGGCAGGACATTAAATTTGAAAGTCTGTAGTATTTGACTTCATTCAAGTCTGGAACTCCGACTAACATCGCTTCGTTTCATTATCCTGATAGAGCAGCCATATCACAACTGTCATTACATATCATTTAACGTTAGCAGCACATGTAGCAGCACATGTAGCAGCACATGTAGCAGCACATGTAGCAGCACATGTAGCAGCACATGTAGCAGCACATGTAGCAGCTGATCGGTTACCTTGGAAAGCTCCAGACTCCCCGGAGGGTTCCAGGATCAGCACCTTGGACAGCAATCAATGTTGTGAAAATGACCCACCTGAGCTGAGACAGGAGGATGCTGCAGCGTGTCTATTCAACAGTCATCACATCTGAATAGAATACAGGTTTATCGTTTCAATTATACAGTTCCTAGTGTACCACGTGTGTTTTGTTTTGATCAGATTAATGAAGGGGAGACACCCCAGGCAAAAACTTTTTTTTTCATGCACTAATCAATGTTGACATTTTGGGCTATTTTGCTGGACTAATGGGAATGAAACAATCTAACATACACATTTAGTTGTATATCTTACTACACTTTGTCTATTTGTGTCTTAAATTCACCCAAAGTTAGCTAAATATCTCCAGTTTCATTCCTATCTATATTCTGAATGTTTTTACAGAGAGGTGTTTGTTCATATACCATTCACAGCCTGATGTATATAACATCATCATAGAAACATGGCGAAATATATATTTTTTGTAATGGCTGTTAACAGAAAGAGATATCCAAGATTCCCTCTGTAAAAACCTTTGACTTTAATGTAAGAATTTTTAATCTGGCTTCAACGAACAGATTTATGTATTGGGAATTATGCAAATTAACACATATTTGATGAGATAATGCCTAATTTGCATATTTAAACATAACATTTAAAAACCTGGTAAGACAATAAGTAATTGTCTTAATGTAACTAATTAATTAGGGAAATGTCGTGGTGAACTTGACAATGCAATTAGCCCGATGTCAAGTTATTCTTTAATGTTGTGTATTATTCAAGACATAGCTGTCATTAATATCTCTTTTAACGTTATTTGTAAGACGTTTTATGGAGTGGAGACACAATACAATACAGCATTTATGGTCAATATTAGTTTACTTTGATATATTATCCAACACAGAAAACATACAGATTTTTCGAACAATTTCTCATTCACAAGGTACTGACGGTATGGATCTGAGAACAAAGTTCAAATTTCTACAAATTTAGTTCATGTTTCACAAGCTGTGTAACAGCACAGTGATACATGCCTGGATTTAATCAAATCCTATTCTGTTGTGCTTAATTAGTCTTGGGGTATTTTCCCACATGCAACAGCTGCAAATATAGCAAAACAATAATAGACCCCTCAGCTATGACTATTTGACTCGTGGCTGATCAGCAGGTCATACATTAGATACAGACAAATATCAACTAAGTTGCATCTTTGGCTTCACAACAAAACCACAATATTTGGAATGGTTTTCATTTTTTCTTGTTGTTCAAGACAGGTTCAAATAATGGTGTTTCATTTCACAGAACCATTACAAATTACAAAAAGGCCCAAAAAATAAAGGAATAAATTACCGTCAAAGAGTAGGTATTTTGTAAAAATCTAAATGCTATGATGGAAGGTCTATGAGTCATATTCAGCCATCCCATTTCCCATCAAAATACTATCGGTATTGATGATCATATCCATGCAGGCCACCGGACTACAGGAAAAACACATTTTTGATCCAATCAGCTCAGAGGCTCCTGATTTGGCTCACAGAAATGCTTGTAGTGGATCAACAGTGTTTCCAAACATCATAATAACATCAACAACAGTCTTGAGATTAAGTTTTAGAGGCTTTCTCAGTTCAAAACTGCATGCAGGGCTTTCAGAGCACTGCATTGGTGTGTTTCTGAGTTAATAGCCTCATGTGGCCTGCTTTCATGTCTCAGATTGGGACAGCAGGCTGCAGCTCCTGCAAACAGGATTACGCTATGAAGACAGCATCCTCGGTAAGAACCCAGAGTCTCAGACAGTGTCTCTCTAAAAAGGATTCAGTAGGCAGCAGGCTACACCTGGAAGTCAGTCCCAAAGTGTCTGATCTGGGCGTCAGTCATAGATAGATAGGTGGTCCTCATACTGGGCGAGTACTGCAAGGGAAATGATTGAAAAAACAAAATTTAGTATATCTGCATTTAAACAACAGCATTTTAAAATCAAATTAGATATTTAAATAGTGTAAACTGATCCAAGTTTGGAGAGTATTTCTTTTAATTATGAGCTGCTCTTTAATTAGGAGGTTGTGGAATCGGGGTGGTACTTTAATGTAGTGAGGGACTTAAAGAGCAGGTGAAGAGCAGACAGAGGGTATGAGTCAGGGGTCACAGAATAAGTTACACTCACATAAAACACTCTGTGGATAAAACAGTACCGGAAGGTCACACAGCTGACGTACTGTATGGAGTGTTAAGAGGGTGTTGGGGTTATAGGTTAAAACATTCTGCACAGCAAGCAGCACCACAGAGGTAAGCCCACAGTTTCAAGGAGTGGAATGAAAATGAAATCAAAACAAACCAGGGAAGGAGTTAGACAACGATAAAAACTTACGGTTTTTAAAAGTCTGAGTGAAAAAATGAAAATAATAAAAAGGGTTAGTTACAAAACACTGGTCAATATTCAGCAGTTAGATAACATTTTGAGAGACAGCTTAAATAACAGCATGAGTAAAATGCATTGCGGAGCTGATACAAAAAATCCTCTTTTACACAAAACAAAACATGGCAGTATCTGTTAAACATGTGTCTCACAGAGGTACACTAACATTTCAATCAATGGTCCATTCCACATTCTCTCCCTCTCTTTCTCTCAAAAGGTGTTTTCAAGTCTTTGGTACGCTGTGAATGCAGTTTAAGCACTGACTCAGCCACCCAAACAAAAAAACCTAACAGAAAAAAAACTTCACCTAAATGAGATTTACGAGCCTAATTTATCATCTAACTTCAGCTCCGGAGGCACACTGCACGCTTAAAGACTATGAGTTCTACCATTAAAACTAGGTACCTGCACTGTCTTTATTCAACGCAAAAACCTATGGTTGTCTCCTTAGTCTTATTAAACCATTACTTTGTAAGAATAAGAACTGCAATCCAAGGCAATGGTGAAACATGAGCATATGCTCAGAGGTTAGTAGTGAGAGTGTGTGTCTGCATACAGAGATGGCACTGGGCTAGAAGTGTATGCACTTCAGTAAATGGCCAGCAGAGAGCAGTCCTCCATCACTTGCAAACTCTCCTCACTAACTGTTGACAGTGTGAGGTTTTATACAGTGTGCATGCATTGTTTCATTCATGGCGTTTTTATGCATGCTTTCTGTTAGTGTTGTGGTCAGTAGTGCCATCATCGTCATCACACTAGGGACACTAGTGCCTCATAGGGCCAACGCACCGAGGGAGGCGGGGATCCTCTCCCTATCAGCGGCACGTTCTCATATCGAGGACTCCCTCCAAACAGCATGGACTGATTCCTGTGGCGGAGAGGGAAAAGAAAAAAGGACAAATGTAAGAGATGAAACACGCAAATACTCATATACTATCATCATCTGTTGATCTTACATGTATTCAGGAGGTGGCATGACATTGGAGGCAGATTGCGGAGCTGGATGAAGGCTGGCCTGGCTACTGAGGCTGCTGGTATAACTACAAAAACTGTGGATGTTGGACCTTCTGGGGTTGTAGGACAGCCGCCGTGCCTCGGGGTTGAATGGGTCCTCCTCATCTATGTCGTCATACTCTTTGTCTCTGGATGAAAGTGGTACACCGACACACACAGAGAGAGAGAAACAGAGAGAGTGCAGGCGTTAACAATTTGTGCATTGTCGGGCAGTACGTAATGGGATAAGGGGGTCGCTTGGTTCTGACCTGCTGCCCATTAGTGTCCACACTCTGAAAATTGCGCACAGCATGGCAGAGAGTGCGCAGGCAGCCAGCAGAGAAAACAAGGAGAGGTAGAGGAGCCCTTCCACCCCATCATAGCACACACCCATTAGGGCATCCAGGTAGTCCTAGAAGAATGGACACATATAGTACAGTCAGTTATTGTCAGTGTCCAGTAAAAATATTACCTTTCAAAGAGAACTTAGGTGTATTAGGTTAGTATAACTATCTTCTAAACCCACAGACATCAATCCATAAACGTAAAAGAGTTGTTTGGACAAACATAACATGGGCAGACTGATGGACTACAAAACACATGTTGTTTATGCCACTACATTTAATTGACTTCCATTCTAGTCATGTATTTCAAAGGGCAACATTAGATCTCTATTCTAAGTGTGAATTCTCTGTCTTACTGTAGCCTGTCACGGACGATATGTCAGAAATGGACGGACCACTTTATACACACAAACACAATGCAGTGTATTGAGACACTCATGTTACTCTGATGACATGTAACAAACGCATTCTTTGTTTGTTTTGACCAACCAGCTCTGAGAACAGTGTCGACTTTGTTTGAATCTCTGTGTGTGTTGTCACTGTTATTCAGCATTATTAAGTCTTTTAGAGTATCCTCACTTTTATCGTAAATAGCACATGTTACAGGCGTGCATGTTGACCTCCGCGTTCACTAAACCACCACCACACTGACGCAGTGAATACAGATGTGACAATAGAGCACATCCACCCTCCACCTTACCTTGATATGCTTTTGTTAAAAAATGACTCACCTACAACACACGCAGAATACAATAGTCATAGGATCTAAAAGCCATGAAAGACATCTGATGTTGCGATCACAGCAGCGAGAAGCACTGAGATATCTTATTCCCTTTCCAGATAAAACTCTTGACATTCTGAAACTTGCCAAACGTAAACTTTAAAGTGAGAAAAACCGGGGTTGGTGGATGGAGCCACTTTAGCAGAGACAGAGTGTAACGCCACTTGCAATGGTCTATAAAAACAGGTCGGTCTATGAGAAGTACATAGAGGTATGGTTAAACATCAGTCAAGTTGGTCCTCCGAGTGGCTCCGAGCTATGCTAGGAAGCAGTCCTATTAAAAAGTGTCCTGGTAGGAATCTGACCTTACCTTATGTAGCCCGCGGCAATCGAGCAAGGCTGTTAGCTGGTGTAGACTGAACTCGGTAGAGTTCAGCAGTCGCTGGATCCCCAAAAGGTCTCTCTGTATGAAAAAAGGTATAAAAGACAGGAGAGAATGATACACATTTTCCAATGGTCTGTAAAAGACCGTCAGCCAGCCACTTACCTCAGCAGTGGGAAAGACGGGCACAGAGAGCTGCAGCAAGCCCTGGACCTGGATCTGCATGGTGGTCAGAGAACGCTGGCAGATTGTCAGAGACTGCAAAAAACATAATCGCCCACCAACATCACATGCACAGACATCCATACAGCAAACAAAGAGAGGATCGTATTAAGTAAAGCATTGTTTGGATGCAGCATGTCAACAAGCAATTTGGTGTTAAAAGAGGCTTCCTAATGCGCTTAGGACACATTTCTTTCCAGACAGATAGGCCCAGATTAGCCACCAACCGTCTCGCCCGCTGTCCCCTCCTCCCATTCCCCCCAACCCAATCTCACGCACAAACAAAAGAGCAATATTTATATCAACTAGGCCATCAGAGGAAAAGATTATCTTTCCCCACTTAACAGGCATCATTTTAATCCCTATGGATACTGTGATGATAACAAAGCATGCAGGTTTTAAACACATATTGGTCATGGATTTATCCTTCACAAATTCCCTCAATGCATGCCTTACACTAACAGCACTGCTCATGAAACAAAATCCTAACTAACTATCTTAACTGTAGAAATATTAATAAGGCGTAATATGATCACACTATCTTAAATTGCATGATGCCGTGCAAGTTGCTGTGATGGGAAGGTGGAGCGTTACTCAAGCTTGTCATTTGTGAGTCGGCATCACTTTCTCACTCTGTGCTCCACGACTTTACACTGGGTGCAGAGATAGATTAAGTGATCATGGAGGCTGACTTCATCGTCCTGTTCATGAATTTGAAAACCTCATCTGGTACACCTGGTCATACACAGTAAGATAACCTTAACCTTCAGCCCTATGCCTCTTACAAAACTTTATTTCACAGCCGTTAGTTTCAAGACCACATTTGACATCTAGTTGTAAATAATTTCAAATAAAAAAAATACAATGGAAGAAAAATTGAGTTTTGTGCTTATAATACAAGGTTATGTTTAAGTCTGCTGGCTTTGAATATATATATATATATATATTGTACATATTTCTAATGCACTTGCAATTAAAGGAGCAATACTTAGCCTCCTAAGAATGTCTGAGTTGTCTAAATCTTTCTTTTCCAAAGTCATGTATGCAAGAAGTGATGGGCTGATGTCTTTAAACAGAAATAAATCAGGATACTTAATTCCTTTTCCTCCTTCCTACGAATTTTCCAGCTGCCTCTAAACAGTGGTTGCCTTTATGCATGATATAGAGTAAATTGAATAAATAACTCAGAAATGTTGCTTGTGAGAGTACCCCAAGGCAGAGATTATGCACAGGGTAAAAGATACGGCTAATTTTTGGAGAACGGCATATGAAAAAGGAATATTCTTTGATCAAAGTTTATCACTTTGGGTAATTAAATTAGTGTTGGGGGCTCATTTTTCAGAGCTTATCTGATTAGGGCCCGATGATGATCTAGCAGCTTGGCATCTAACATGGAAAAAAACTATTTTAAAATAGAAATACATTTTCCAGCGTGTGACTCCGTGTAAGATTCATGCGTAAGCAGACAGCTGAGACTTTGGACATTTTGTCAATACCTTTTGGAAAGGGTTTGGTAGATTCGGGCTGCAGAACAAATAATAGTGTGCAACATCTGGAGGGTGAGAGAAACAGGGAGACAGGGAGACAGATTAGCATTGTGTCTTAAGATTCAACGACAGAGAGGTGTCTGTGCAATTCTGCTTATTGAAATGAATCACCTGCACTGAGGAAATCCTTGGTTTGGTTAACAAAAAACTTGTCTGGAGACACACAGAAGTCACTGGTGCCCTGTAGGAAAACAACAACATGCTGTAATCTTGCAAGTATAGAGCAGAAAGAAGTGCAATATGTATTGAAGCTATGAACTAGATCCAATTTATTGCAACTGAGTGAAACTGAGTTTGCACTGGGCAGTTATGGTGAATCTCTCACCCAACACAAACTATTTGTTTTACAATATTTTTATCACCATTTAACTTCGCAGTGAGTGAGTCTGTGAAATGTTGGTATCGTCACAAATGCACACACACACGTGCTTTAAACAAGCACACAGAAACATGTGTGGTATGTAGGGACTGGCCTCCTGCTGTATTGACCATGTAGAGAGCATTAGTTGCTTTGATGACCATCGATGAAATCTACTAAATATGTTCATGCTCTGACAAACATCCATGGAGACCATGCTAATGGGCATGCATTAACAATTTAAGGGTCACACAGTCTCTCTGCACTTCTTCCCTAGAACACAAAAAGAGGGCAAAACAAAAATAACTTAATAACTTCTCAAAGACATGCATAATTGACAGTTGGTGGAAAATAACAGGCCGCTCTTCAAATTGATCAAGTTCAAAGGGATCAAGAAATCTGCTGTGATGCCGAATGAAACATCAAAAGCTTCATGTTATTTATTTCTAATATAATTCTTGAGTCCACTGCTTTTCATGTCAGCCCCAATCAAAAGCATCGTTCTACAGCCTCTCGTTGTAAAGCACAGCTCAAAGGACTTTACAAAGCCTATAAAAAAAAACCCAAAAACATGAAATGCAACTAAATAACACGCATGGAAATACATCTATAAAGCAAGACAAAACACATAATAGACACAAATAACCTTCGATTTACACTTATTTCACCTCAATTTCAGATGACCAACATCTCTAAACTGGACTGGGATCACATGACATTTGTTCTCAGCAAAAGCTGTACAGCAACGTGTGTCAGGCACCGTTAGGATGTTGCCCTTCATCACTATCTCATTATACAAGCGGGGACATTTTGTTTATGCTTCGTCTCATCAAATATGTATAAATTTACGAGCATTTTCTAGGCCACCACCATCATCTACCTTGCTTTCAAGACACACCATGTTTTTGCACCATGCAATTTTTGAGTAATGATGTGCAGGTGCAAAAAGTTTACTTTTTTTGCATACGGTCCTATACTCAAATGATTTGAACTGTGTTTTTTTGGATAATTACAGCTTTTCTTGAAGACACAATAATTAAAGTTTTTGCTTGATTATTTGTGGAGAAACTCAGTTTTACAGATCTATCAATTAAATCAAGTAATAGATTAGTCGACAAAATTGTTTGAGTGATAGTGGACCAAGAATTTCTTTGGTCGAGGACAGCCCTACCTGTGACGCAGCAGTCTCACAGTGACAAAGAGATGCTTGCTGGAGAAAAGCTGTGCTCAACTATTTTGGTTTGAATGCGGGTTCATGCTCTGCTATAATGGGCTAAACTAAGCCACAGGCACAGTCCGTGATATTGGTAATCGGGTTTTACACCTGCAGAGAAGCTCTGCATTCACAGAGAACCACAAGATATGTGTCTATATTTCACGCCTGTGTAGTTAATTCCAGGTTAAAACCAGCTATCAACCCCTCTTCTGCTTCATTCTCGTTTCTTCTTGCCTCACTTAAACAGCTGTCCAGATGTAAATTCCTTGGGGATAATCCACCGACAGAGTAATCTACGGAAGGCGAGGAGATCGAGGAGAAAAGACAGCGGGAATAGAGGAATGCTGGAAGTAAGGGGTTACTCTTTGTTACCCCAGACAGTGCCCCTAATACGAGCTCATTAAACACACTAAGCCCAGATGTACTGAACACATGGCATACCGACAGGAAGAGAGCGCAATCTGTCAGACATAAGGAGGACTAACAGAAAAATAAAGCCGAGCACAACAAAAGAAGAGATTTTGAAGAAAACCGCGCCAGTAATTAAAGCTAGAAACAGCTTTGTTTACAACGATAGGGCTAAGGGTTGATAAACCCAAAACGCTAGGGACTTGTAATCAGCTTTACTGCATGACTGACCGTAGAAAAGTGCCCGCTGTAGACTGAACAAACAGATACAGATATGTCCAAGAACACATGCTTATTGACAGTAAAACCACTGGGGAAGCAATGGCAAGCTTAATACAAGAACCACCACCTTCCACCAACACTGTGGGTTAACAAATAACAAACTGGTTGGCAAGAGCAGAATATAAAATGTAACCCGACATGAATAAATAAATGAGAAGCAAGTAAGTTAGGATTTTAAAGAAAGACAGTGTCTTCTCACCACAGCTGTAGCAGTGCCCGCTCCCAGTGAGGCCCAGCTTAGGATCATAGACAGCACTACAAAAGCCATGATCCTGGAGGAAAACAGCAAAAGGGAGAGAACGATTGAGGTGACAGGGAGGCACAGACAAAGACAAAGACACATGGGGAGGAGCAGATGAATCAGCTTGTCTTTGTAATAATGATCTTCAGCTCTTTTTCACCTGGTTCATTTGATTTATTCGTTTCAGCGTTTGCTTGGGAATTGTTCTCCCTCTGCCTGAAGACAGAGGCCCAACTCACACTTTGTGCTGGTGCACCGTAGATTAGACGATACGGCCGTAGTACTATTTATTATGAGGGTGATATAAAGATAAATTATCTCACGACTCCATGCAGAATTTACTCGTTTTCTCGAGACTTCTATAAAACAAGAGAAAAGATCTATTCTATTCAGATATGTTTGATTGGAGAACTTGTTTAATCGAGGTCTCACAACGGCACAACTGAAGATAATACTACTCGAAGTCTGGGCACTTTTGATCCATTTTGTCATTTCTGCTCCACTGGCAGCATCTTAATTGGCTGCTCTTTCTGTCAATCATGGCTGTCAATCACTCTGCGATGTTGCTGTCAATCAAAAGCTGCCACAATATTTGATTTTGTCGACCTCTTGTGTTATCTGCCCCCTTTTTGTCTGGAAAGAGTGATTAGTTCAACAGGGTCTTCACATTGTGGAGGTGGTTTTATGAGAAAAAAAAAACGAAATAAAAAAAACTCCCCACTATTAACCCCAATTTCTTTGTGATCACTGGCAGAAACAAGAGAAAGTGATGTACATTTTAGGGAGATAAACCACTAAAAAGAGGAATGGCCTCCTGATGGATGTAAAAAGGTTACAGAGGGCTTCCGTTCTCAACTCACTTCTCGGACCTTCTTGAAAGCACCCATAAAGTAGCCTGAGAGCACTTAATAATTAGTTGAGGGAGCGGACTCATCCTGCTTGTGCGATCAATAGGCATTAGTGAGACCCATCAGAGAGAGATGTGAGGAGGGATCCTGGGCATCCTCCGCTAACACCGACACGTAGGCTGCACTAAATTGGGCAAATGGGATGGGAAGTCTGGCTATGGATATGCTTGTCAGACATCGATGTTGGTTTAAATGAATGGCTGCAATTTACTCAACAAAATGTTCCTATTCCCAATCTTTCCAGTTCTTATTTTCTATTGTTTAGAGGAGAAACAACTCTGTTTTTGATCAATTTTGATATAAAACATGAAATTTACATTCAGCAAACTGATCAGTCGGTTTGATTGAGCGTAAAACACCGTAGAGTTGCCTTTAATTGTATGTGGAAATAAAATGCAAGTCACTGAGGAGACGGCTAAGGGCAGTGCTATTATCAGTGCTATTTGAAGATGTAATGCGATCGCTGGTGCCGTTAATGGAGTGACCAATATGGAGCCAGTGAGGCTGACTGGTGCCCTGTCTGCCTGCAGTCTGTGATCCAGGCAGAGGCCAAAGAGAACATTGATCGACCGCAAGAAAAAGCTAAAAAAAAAGGCCTCAGAAACAAGATAAAAAGCAAATACCTCCACATACACACTCGGGGGTACCTACATGATGAGCAGCCCTCGAGACTGCTTGGCCATCCCCAAGCACATGGCCAAGCAAATGACCAGATCCAGGATCAGCAGCAGCAGATAGATCAGCCATCTACGGGACAGGAGGCATCAGTATAACAACTCTGATTGATCGCTTTCACTTGCAGACTGCATACTTTATGGACAAGCCTCGGGAAGTGCTGGCCCAACATATGTTCGGGACCGAAAGTGTGAGATCTGTGTGCTGTACACCAGCATTCTTGTCTCCTAGTTAGAGCCCATCTGTTTCAGGTAATTTCCAGCCTGTTGGCTTAATAATTCAGCACCACAAATCCATAGGCATCAATTTTTCAAGCTCTGAAAATGTCCTTCACAAGGCAGCCTGGACTTGAAGTGTGTGTGTGTGTGTGTGAGAGTGTGTTCTGACCAACCAAACACGTGGGAATGCTCATGACTCATTCTTAACTCCACGAGCCCCGGTAGCGTTATAAATCTTTTAGCAATGACAAAGGAAATTACAGACACTGACGTTCAGGATGGTGAATTCTGAAGATTCCGGCTAAGAAGTATTGTTGTAAATCTGTACACCAAGGTCACCAGAGAATATGATTCTCTCATGCTATGTGAGGAAGTCTGGATGTACACTAATAGACTTTGAAAACAGACTGCTCTCAGAGGAGGGAATACGGTTGGAGATAAACACTAAAAGAGGCTGCACGTTACTTTATCTGCACAAACACAACTGCGGATCGTTTGTCTGAGGACAGGGACGGGGATGAATACAGAAACAGAATAGGGAAGGGGGGATATAATATTGGAAAACAGAACGGTGTCATTTCTTCCCTTGTTCGACTAACACTGGGTTGGCCATAACATTTTCAGTTCGTCAATAAAGCCCTGCCACAGGCTGTTCATTGCTCAATGGCTGCATGAAATTCAATCAAAGCCCAGGAGATTGGTGTCAGAATGCACAAAGTAGCAACTGTAGTCCTACAGAAGGATCTGGTGTCATGACAGGATATAACACCACACCATGTGGGGATATGTATGCATGCAATTAATAATGGAAATATGTCAGTGAGAGAACACTACCAGTGATACAACAGTGTGCATATTTGTGCTGTGCCATGCCAAAAGTCAGAGACATTTGCTATAACCAAAGCTGCATTAATGAGAAGCAAAGAAAAAAATATGGCAACTTATGTTGGTTTTATATTAAAAAAAAAATCAATTTGACAATTTTGTTGATCAAACAAATAGATTAAACAATTTTTTTTCTTATTTCATGATTCAAGTAGAAGGACTGATTAAGACCTTGACAACAGAGCTATGCAGAAGTTGTTGCTGTATTGTTGTGTACACACACACTTTCTGCTACACACAGGCTTACACGGCAACCAGCAAGACGGACTCTTGAGGTCATCAACCATGAATCATCCGCTTTCTTAGATCGTTTGGATGGCGATAGACAAGTGAACACCCATTCTCTCTTTGCACTTTTATGGCGACAATATATGTAGTAAAAAAGGATAGAAAGTAGGTCGTAAAAATCTTGGACATATGCAATAATATTAAGCAAAAACACTTAGGCATAAAGTTAAAAAGAAAATGTAGCTGCAGTGGAGGTTGTCTGAGACTGCCTATCTCGTATATAACCAGGGGCTAGGTGACTAACACAACCGTCCATAGACACAGGGAGATGAGCCTCATAACAAGTAAACAAAGCAGCGCACTGTGCTGTTAATCCTCTTGCTCCACACACTTACATAAGTGAGAGCCATGCACATCTTTTTTTACTCTTTTGGGGGCATAGACTTGAATTCATCAGTGTTGTACTGTAGAATGCAGATTTCACGCAAGCAATGAAAAGTGGTGACAAATATGATTCAACATGCGTTTTTATCAGTCGAATTAAGGTGAAACGAGGCTGAAGAAGCGATAGCACTTCAGTGTTTAGTTTGTTTCAGAATGACTGCTTCACACTGCAATTTACTTCTACTAAATCTGCAACCTACTGGGACAGGACAGGAGTTATGGGATGAATTTGATTAGATGAAATAAACTTCAGGTCGCTACAGAACTTGCTCGCATACATCCAGATGAGCTCTGTTCCCTGACTAACTTTGCATCTATAATGTAAATCAAACAAATGCTATTGCAGAAGGTACCACACTATACCCTAAAGCTGTCTCCCGTGAGTCACTCATTCCAATTTAGTCCAAAATACTCCTAGAGTACTGTAATGAACAGGTTGCAAATGTGAGACTTCACAGCATAACAGCACTATTACGTTTTATGTGCTGTGGAATAAAACAAGCCACCGAAGCTATAAAATTACACTCACAGTTTGGAGCAGCAGCCTTTGGAGTCACATAAATTACCATCCCTCTCCTAAATTAATGCAGGATATTATATTTATTTGGACTACTTTGCTGTTGATTGAGTTTATTTTTTTTTTCTCTCCGTTTATTGAATTTCAGTCATGGCCTCTCATTAATTCTTCACAGTTCCTATTTTGAAAAGAAAGTTCCCAAAGAGAAAACCACATGAAAACAATAATTGCAATCAATGTGAGCAGTGGTCTGCGGGGTAAGGAGATCATTTATGGTCTAATAGCCACTCTTCCATGCATACCATTCTGTTGGTACACAAGCATTAGATCTCAAACTGCACACTGGGCAATAAGCTCAATTTCAGCTTTCATTTATTTAGCAATCAAGAGAAAATAGCTTTTTCTGGTCTGCGTTCCAGAGGGAAGATCGATAAAATCCCATCTGCTCCGTCACTCGTCTGGATCACATACTGTATAGTCCCATTCTAAGGGGCACATTTGCTTCAAACCAATAACAGACACAATTAAATAGTGTCAATCTCCCCAGGCTCCACCTACCTGTAATACTCAATGAAGGCTGTTTGGTCAGCGATAGCCTCCAAGTCAACATTGGCTTTGTTTATATCCGGCAGAGTAGTCATCTCACGGATGACGTTGTTGACCATGAGCTGCATGAAGCGAAGAGTTTTTAGGTAGTCGGTCCTTGTGCTAAAGATTTCATCCAGGCGTTCCAGGTGTGTTTTGAGTCCAGTTTCAGCATTACCCAGAGATCCTGCAACCTGGAAAATAAACCAAAAATCAGAAAATAGAAGAAATGAAAGAAAATAGTAGTAACAGAATAAGAGAGAAGGGGGAGGGGAGGAGGTGAAGCGGAGTCAGAGAGAAAACAGGGTCTAAGGGAAATGGGAACATAAATAAATTCATAAAAAGACATTCATAAAAAGAAGATTGAAAATATAGAGAAAGGGGAAAGAACCAAAGGGAGCACTCCCTTAGGGGGAAGATTAACTTTTCTTCTCAACCGTGTGTTTTATTCAGGTAAACAATGTTAGAGCGGAATACTGATAACAATACCAGGGAGACTTCTTATCACAGGGGTCTTTGATAGTCAGAATGGAGTGGGAGGAGGCATGGTGGAGTAGAGTAAATACATTTTACTTTCCTGTTTGAACAAAAACAATGTGATGCAGTAAATGCCTGCATTTTCACAGCATCAATGGAGTTAGAAACAGGTCAATTTAAGCCGACAGGTGGGAATTGTTTCTCCGCCATAGCCACATTTCATGCACAAGAAGTTGACCCAGTTACTGTACAAAGATATTCTAAAACAAAGTGCATTCAAGGTACAATACACTCTGCAAATGTGAAGAAAAAGGAAACTTTGCCATCAAGATTAAAAATATGTGTGTGAAACCTGCTGTCACGTAAAATGATTGGTCTTTAAATACACGGACTAACACTAAGCAATTGAATCTAATTTTATGGCTTTGGGTTTAATATTTGTGAAAACATGATATGTATATGTAATTTGCAGAAAGACAATACATTTTCTCTTTTATTTTAAAGGAAAAGTTCAACATTTTGGGAAATATGCTTACCCGCTTTGTTAGCTTCGGACTGCTACTTGTTTCCCCTGTTTCCAGTCTTTGTGTTACGCTAAGCTAATTGGATGTTGGCATGTAGCCTTGTATTTAATAGACAGATATGAGAATGGTGTTGATATTTCCGCTTACTCTCCACCAGAAAGAACAGTTCTGGGAACAGTAAGTATACTGTAAAGGGACCTCTTTAACCCACAAGAATTCAGCAAGAGGACCCTGGTTTAAGAAGGACACACACACACACACACAACACCCACACTACAATTACTTAGAAACAGTATATTTAACATTACACTGAGTAGGAGGTTCCACTAATTCTGAGCATTTAATTAATTCTGTTGCTTTCTATATTCTAATCTGAGGTGGTTTGCAGCAGTCCCTCTTTCTTTATCTATCATCTTTACACTCCATTACACCCATGACTTCCTCACACTCTGAGTAAGGCTGTTCATTCCCACGCTACGAAAACTGACCACGAAGAAGATAAAAACGAATCTCAGTCAGTCTCCCTGACAGTGTAACATTTCAAACACTCTTGATTAAATTCGAGGGAGTCGAGAGGGATAATGATTTGTTAGCAAGAAAGAATGTCCATGTGGAGATGAGGCGAAGATACAGGCCCATCCTCCACTCCCCAACTCCCAGGGGGGATATGTGATTGCCAGTAAACTGCTCTCACTCCCCACCTCTATGTTCATCATCTCACACAGCTCCTGCCACAATGCCCCGAATCTTATCTGCGAGCCTGTATATGCCTGAGTGCAAGAAATGGGATCCATCAGCTAGCTGCTCTGGGTGATCCACATTTCCCTAATCTGGACCGTCCCGTCTTCTCTTAAAATGGATTAAAGCTCACTTTTACTGAAAGCGGGTCACAAGGAGGCTTCTCCATATTGGACAAGCCTGTTAAATGAAACTCACTGATTTGAGGCTCACAGCAGCAGCAGCAGCAGCAGTCCGAGTGCCAATTCACATGCAACTGAATTGCTTTGCCTTTAAGTGATTTTCTATATCTGAGATTTACTGTATTAACTGTGACAATAAAACTATATATATATATATATAAAATAAATAAATAAATATATATAAATATACAGGATATACATA